CTGAGCTGATAGCTGTTACACTACCTGCACATACTATTTTATCTAAAAACATGATCTTGGTAGCACTACATTTTTAACTTAGTACTTTTTAATATTAATCATTAATTTTCAATCCAAATTAAACATTCAATAGCTTTAATTTCTTTGACCATCTGTTCACTATTTTCCTAATTTTAAGGTATTTTTAAGATATTTTAAACACATGAACAATGTGTACATTATTTACATTTGGCCTATTGACCTCATCTGTTGTTATTAACACAATGTTTTGAACATTTAGCTCCCCAGTCTTCAGGTGTTTATTAGTTTAGGTAACCTCCAGGGAATTTCAAATGGAAGACTTCAACAAATGTTAATAATATTATATCATTGAGTAAGTCACCAGATAAAGGGTGAGCTATGTAAGAAAGAGGCACGGTGGAATAATGGATAGCAGTTCAGATTGAGAAATCAGAGAGTCGAGTTCGAATTCCAGTCAAATCCATAACATTCACTTACGTACTAATACCCTTGGGAACGGTATGAATCCTCTTCTTCTCCTCCCAGCTATGGGTAAATAGCAGAACAGACCAGGTTCTATAGCCTTGGATGGAAACTGATCTACCACAGAAAGAAATGGAAATCTACTGTGGGATAAAATCTGCCTCATCAGTCATGTATCGAAAGATACATGATCGCCTAAGTGTATATCATGTATGGCACATAACTGACTGATCAGTTAGGAGACCTGTGTTAAAAAAGGAAAATAAGTTGAGAAGACTAAAATGGGCAAAAAGCACAAGGACTGGACTGTATAAATTGGAAAAATGTACTATGGCCTGATGAGTCCAAATTTTGAGCTCTTTTGGAAGTAAACAAAGTGTGTTTGTCAGATAAAATCCTTCCGACTGTTAAGCATTGTGGTGGTGGTGGTGGTGGTGGTGGTTCTGTAATGGTTTGGGAATGTTTTAGAAGTGAGATTGCTGAAGAATTTGTTCAAATTAAAGGCATTATGCAAAAGGAAGAGTAACATTCAATACTGCAGGTGCATGCAATTCCTTCTAGCTGCCACATTATTGGACAAAATTTTGTTTTGCAACAAGATACACAGCTCAAAACTGTGTACAAATTATCCAAAAATCAAATAAAAATAAGGGAATTTTGAAAATCATGACTTGGCCCCCTCAGTCTCCAGATCTTTCACCAACTGAAATAGTCTGGGATGAAATTGATTGTAAAGTTCAAAGTGAACTGCCTAAGAATAAGCAAGAATTGTTTACACATTGACACACTGCTTGGGAATCACTTACACCAAAATACTTTTGCAAGTTACTAGAAAGGATGCCAAGAATTTACTCTGCAGGAATAAATGCACTTGGAGGATTTTTTGATGAAAAGAAAATATAAATTTGGTTTATATATTATAGATTATAATTATTTTATATTCATTTTGATTTAAATTATTGTCATAATTGCATGCAAACATAAAAAAAATAAATATATTTCTTTAAAGACATAAAACTTTTTTAAGTTTAGAGGAAAAAATCATTGTGATCCCAAACTTTTGGTCTAGTATATATATATATATATATATATATATATATAGTATATATATATATATATATATATATATATATATATATATATATATATACACACACACACACACACACACACACACATATATATATATATATATATATATATATATATATATATGTATATATTTTAAAGAAAAACAGACCACTTTAAGGTACCATTATAATAATTTATTTCACCAGAGACCTTTTAAAGGACACTGGATCATCAGATAGCATTTCCCAAAATTAAATGAAACAAAAAATGAAATTAAAATTGATGGGTAGTGTAAGTTTTTGTAATTTAACAGAGAGTGTAAAAGGGATAGTTAAAGAGACATGTTAGAGTATAGGGAGGGATTAATTTCATATCTCTCTCAATCATATTTAGTATTGGGGGAGGAGGAGTGACCAGACCATGACCTACTTAGTCTTAAATAGGTCAAGGTCTGGTCTGTTTAATATTGAAATTCATTAAACTAATTGAGTTTCTTTTTTGAATAAATTTAAAAAGGCAGGAACAGTAGAGAGGAAAACTGGATCAGGAGGCCACACCAGCAATAGTGATCATCATTTCAACTTAGAGCTAAATCCATTCTTATTGTTTAGAGTCCAATAGTGTTATAAAAATCTCGGAGAATTCCAGTAAGATATCTTTAATCATTTTAAAGGTACAGCGATTTAAAGCTTAATCTAACAATTGGACAATTTTGCTGTTATATATAAAATGTTACGTGTTTTGTCCCTTAGGAATTCATTAGACTAGGTTATATAAAATAAGTAGACACTGAGGTCAAAACCTAGCATGCTTGAATATAATCTCCATTGCAATATAAATTCTTCTAGTTAATAAAAAAACTTTGTTTATTGTTTATAGATACTTTGTTTCAATAAATTCATTTCATTTTTTGCCTTGAAAAAGTCCATATTGAACAAAACGTGTTGGCTAAAACTACACAGTTTTCTTATTGTCTTTTTTCCTTTTATACATATTGTCTTTTTCTACAAATTAATTCTGAGAATTTTTTACATACATATATATATAGCACAGATATATTGTTTATATAGACAGTATGGACATAGGAATCTGCACAGTCTATATCTATCTATCTATCTATCTATCTATTCATATATATATATATATATATATATATATATATATATATATATATATATATATATATATATATATAAGTATAGGATTGTGTATGAATAAATTCCAATAACCAACAATTACTATTCTTAAAAGAGTGCTCAATACAGAGTAGAGTGAATATAATTATTTATTTGAAAATTATAACATAAATATGTTATAAAATCATTACAAAAATAGCCATTTTGTTTCAACACCTCTAGTGTCTGATCAAGTGATGATGTTGAATGTAGAATAAAGGGTTTTAAAAAGTTCAAATCAATTAACCACCCCTTGCAAGGGGAAACGCTATTACATAAGCTGGAATGACCAATCAAAATACAAGTATATGAGAATTTAAAAAACTTGACAACGAACTAAGGTTATAATAACTATTTAATGCCTTAATGTTGGGCTTAGACTAAAATAGAATTTATTCTAAATAATAAGTATTAAATTATATGATAAAATTTGAAATTAAAAATTACCCATTTTAAAAATTAATCTCTATTAAGTTTAAAATTATAAAATTACTGAAGAAAAAAGAAAAAATACATATGTTATTCTATTTATTTTGTTTTTATTGAAATTAAGTTGGAATAAACGTTAATATCAACTGTTGTTCTGAGCTTCATGACAACATAGATACATTTGAATTTTAAATATAGGCAGGGGAGGATGACATCTTGCAAAAGACAATACATACACAATCAGATTTTAATACATAAGCACACAGACGTATTTAGATATATACACACACAAAAACGTGATGTGACAGGAAATATCTCCACAACCCTTTACAAAAAAAAAAATCATACATACACAATGAAAGGTGCATCCAAGTTAGCATACACACAGACACCGATAAAGAGACATACATACACCCGCATACATTGATATAGACATTCTGTTACATCAATCAAGAAATATTTAAGATTGAAAGTGTTATTAAACAAATTCTAACCACTTATTAAAATATAACTTACACAGGCAAATATACATAGATAAAAATGGTCTAATAGAACAGAGAAACAAACAATTTCGACATTTATTTCAATGGGTTCTTTAGATTCTGCAGAAGCCTCTGACTTGGTTGGATTATTTCTTTTATACAATTGAATGTCTAGATTCTGATAGTGTAGGATTATATAGAGATGATGGCTTATTAGTTGTTAAAAACTCTACTAAAATTAAGGTAGACCATATTAGAAAAATGATCCATAGGGAATTTAAGGATTTAGGTCTTAGGACTATAGTTACAACTAACATTAAACAAGTTGGATTTTCTGGATGTAACCCTAGACCTTACTAGCAACACTTTCCAACCTTATGTGAAGGTTAATTCCAACCCAGTATATGTGCATCCCAATTCCACCCCCCCACCCCCCACTTCGGTTATCAGCACATACCCTCCTCCATTGGATTTAGGATTAGTACTAACTCTTCTAACAAAGAGGTTTTTTAATAAGCATCGTGATTTTTACAATTCTGCCCTTAAAAATAGTGGATACAAAGATACCACTATTCAATATAGAAACCTAGTGAATTACAACCATAATAAGAAAAGAAGATCTAGAAAGATCATTTGGTTTACTCCCCCTTTCAATATAATGGTTAAAACCAAATTAGGACATATATTTCTAAACCTCATCAAGAAACATTTCCCCAACCCAGAAACTAACCCTCTTAGTAAAATATTTAATCCTAATACCCTTAAATTAAGCTATAGTTGTGCAGATAACCTAGAGAAAATAATTAAAAATATAACAATAGATAACATTTTGTGTTCTTTCTGTTTTAGTGGGAGAATCTGTTTGACCAACTTTACTATATGAGCTGATTGAAGGACTTTTTGTTGGTCACACAGAACATAGATTGTCACACTCATTGCTTTTGCCACCACTGAAACATATCACCTACCACCAGACTGTGCTCATACCAACTATTAGGTCTCCATAAATATTCAACAAATGTCAATGAATGTCAATTTTATGTATGGAGAAGTTCAATGATACTCCTCTAATTCAAATGTGCTTTCATATCAGATGCCATTTTGCTAGACTGCCTCTCAGTTGTTATCTGTAGAAAGGCAAAAGAAATTATGGTTTATTTGTGAAAGAAATTATAGTTTATTGGTGGGGGGAGTTCAAACTCTATCGCCTACATTTTCTTATGATGGACCAAGTTAAACAAATAAAACTCATTACTTTCATTGTATATAACTAGGTCGTGGGGATTGCAGTTGGCAACCATCTCCTTTTCTATCCTATTTTGCTGGATACATATTATCCGAATTTATAATTATGTGCACTTCTTAGTTTTTCTGTTTGCCACTCTATCTATCTATCTATCTATCTATCTATCTAAGTCTGTTCACATCATCTATCTGTGTATTTATCATTCTATCTATCTATACAAGTCTATTCATATTATCTATCTATAGTCAATTTTTCAAAGAGGGGACTTCTTGATGTTATCGACTTGGGAAGATGGTGAGAGTATGTGGCACATTTAGAAAGTACCTGGAAATCAAGGTACATGCTGACCCAAACTTTGTTATTGTAATTAGGTAGATAGAACTGTTTGGAAGCTATTGATGACTGTACTAGCATGAAATTACAAGTCATTAGTGACTGAGGGTTTGGGCATATAGACATTATTCAAACTACTCATCACACTAGATTATACTATTTACATTATTCAGACTATTGTCCTCATCTTTGTTGCCATATTTCCGGCCTTCTTCAGGTGGTTGGAATGTCAAACTGAACCCTATTCTGCTTACTGTAGTAGACTGTTCTACTTCCACATGCCATGTCTAATGGATGTCAGTTATTTGCTGTTAATTCCCTTCTCCAAGTTCTCCTCTGCCTTAACCAGGTATTGAACTCACACTCCTTGGGTCCTGTCACTGGATCTAACTAACACCTTTATCCACTGTGCCATGTGTCCTTGTGATAAATATGGCAACAAAGATGAGGACAATAGTCCGAATAATGTAAATAGTGTACATAACACTTCATCTCAGAAATATAAGCAGATAATGCAAGATTATGTGTCTTCTCCCAGAAACTGTAACTAAGGTCTGCTCAGTATACTTGCATTATGTTTCTGCCACACATTGTATTTTGCATTAAGGTCAAAATGTTAAATTTTGGTCTCATCTGATCAGATTACCTTTTTCATGTTTGATGTGTCCCCATATGGTTTATGGCAAACTGCATATAGGACTTATTGCTTTCTTTCAAAAATGGCTTTTTTTAGCCACTCTTACATAAATGCCAGATTCATAAATCATTATGTGTGTATGTGTATGTATGTGTGTGTGTCTCCTAGTTTATATAAAAGAGACAAATGCACATGTATGAATAAATCATTATGTGTATGTATGTGTCAGTGTGTAAAGGAGACAAATGTATATGTATGAGTAAAGCTCTGTGGAGTAAGTGGCGCTGAAAACAAACAGATCTTTAGACAAATTAGTAAGCACCAATGAACATAAATCAAGAAAGTGATTTCCAAATTACCCGGCTTAATCCCAGATGCTTTCCTTTGCCACTTTCTCTCTCTCCCTCTCTCTGTTTCTCCTATTTTGAGGCCCGTAGCAACTGGCACATTCGTGGGAAGGACAGGTGTATAGAGAAAGAGAAACGGACTGAGTTGGCAAATAGGAACATGAAAATGAGCAGGAAAGAAAATATAGCTAAGAATTGATTTGTGTATGCAAATCAAAGCACTTGTCAAAATTAAAAATTCGGAAAGTGGATTAGGCCAATATATTTTCATCATCTCCTTGTATGAGGAAAAACATATATATATATAAAGAGAGAGAGAGAGAGAGAAATATAGGGTGCGATGGATAAAATGCTATCTAAATTATGCAAAAATGAAAATAACACAGACATCTCATTTTAACAGATATATTTACCAAAATTATACAAAAATATCTTCAAATACTAAAGAGTAAATTTATTCAATAAAATCACCATTGGCTTCAACTATGGCCTCCAGACGACTTCAGAATCTCCTGCAATTCTTATGGACAGTCTCCTTGTTTAAGTTGGTGAATGCTGCCATAATCCTAGCCTTCAGTTCATCTTTGGTATTATAAGGAGTTTTGTTGGGTTTTCACTCAAGTGCACCCCACACATAATAATCAAGGGGAGTTAGGTAGCTAGATGTAAGGAATGATTTTGTCACAGAAATTATCTAACAGCCATGACTGAGCTCTCCTGGCATGGTGCAGAATCCTGTTGCCAGACATAGGGTCTTCCAGCAGCCACCTTCTTGATCTAGTGCAGCTCTTCAAGGCAATTGATGTAGGTCTCCATGTCTGTGGGAAGATGAATGGAAGCATAATGTTGCCATCACTATCGATCATTCCAAATACCATGATATTGACTGAATATAGCATCCAATTCTTTCCAAATCATCTGCACCATGAACTATTGAACTCATACTCTTTGGGTCTTGTCACTGGATCTAACTAATGCCTTTATCCACTGTGCCATGTGTCCTTGAGGACATCTGTGTAAGAATTTCTGGGTATTATAAACCTAATGTCTTCAGCAACGATTTTTTACCAGTGCTAATATTTTTGCTGTTATCATTGTATATTTTTTTAACAAAGCTCATATTGCAATTTTTTCTGTTATTGCTTTTCTCTGGCACTCCTTATTACTGGTTCCCATATTGTATTCATTTCTATGCTTGATCAGCTCAGGAGATTTTTGTGGCCAAGCATATGTGCTGATTCCTTAAGTTTACGAATTTTCCAATGATGTCCTTTGTCTATGATCTCAACCAGATTCCACAGAGGGTGGTTATCTCCCTTTTCAATACCCAATTAAGGCAGTGGAGAACTTGGAGAGGAGAATTAACAGGAGATAACTGACATCCATTAAACATGGCACATGGAACTAGAACAGTCTACCCCAGTGAGTGAAATAAAGGGTTCAGTTCGACATTCCACCCACCTGAAGAAGGCTGGAGCATAGAATGGCCGAAATGTTGTAATAAATATGTCAATAAAGATGAGGACAATAGTCTGAATAATGTAAATACTGTTGTTCTTATCTCGTGTGTTTACCTGAGGTTTGTAATTCAGGTTGACTTTGCGTCTCTCCTCCTTTAATGTTATCAAATATTCTTATTCCTTTTCTTCAAAAACTTCCATAGTCAAGGAATTCCTGGACAACCTGCATTCAACTCATTTCAGGATGTTCTTAATTATGTTTGCCAGATGTTTGAACTTGGTATTTGCATATTTCAAAGCAGTGTTTGGCTTCACGTATGGTGAAACTGTACCAGCAAATAGATGAAATTCAACATCTAAATATTGAACCACTTTTCTGTTCATTTCGACAGTAATGTTGAAATGCAATTCTATAAATAATTAAAATAGTTTCTTCCTGATGGAATTGTGGAAACTACCATCAGACCATCGTCTTGGTAAATACTGCGGCTGTCAAAGTGGACAATCTTGTTGATCTTGCTTAAAATAAATATGCCCATCAATTCAGATACTTCGGCCCCCATCAAATGATCCTTGGGAGATGTCAAACTTCCACATCTGAACCTTTTTACCCATGTTTCCCCTTCATTTAACAATACCGACTTACAACAATGTAACACTACCTCAATCTGCCAAGGAGTTATGCTCACAAAATTTTTTGCAAAATATATGGCATCAAGTAGACATTTCTCAGTGATACAAAGATAAAAATCATTGATGTCATATTTTATGAATGCCAATTTGTTTTCTTTTGTATTATAGTTTTTCTGGTCTTTTATTTTGTGTTATATAAATATATATATATATATATATATATATATATATATAGTTAAGTAATGAAAATCTTGGTAAACCGTATGGATAATCCCAAGGACGATGAAATCTAAAGAGCTCAATGTTAAGTCAGAGCAAATAATGGAACCTTAAAGTGGCTTGTTTTTTCTTTAAATTATATATATATCTATATATATATTTCTTTTTTCTAAAGAAGTAATAGAATTTTATTTATTAATCCGACAGATTTTATCACTTAAAAATAATGTTTAAAGTGATAAAATCTGTCAGATTAATAAATTAAAATCCACTTCTTTACCAAAGTGCTTTGTTTACATTTGTATATGAAATGGAACAGATATGAACATTTTGAGAAAGTCTATGATGATATGAATTTTGCTTAAAGGCACTATACAACCTTACCCAATTGTCTATGTTCTTTGTAGTTCAGTTGGTTAGAGTACATCAGATCTAATGACAGGGTCCTCTGCCAGAGGAGAGGGGGAACAAAGCGAGAGCATATTTTATTTATTCAGGTCAGTAAACTAAAATAAATAAATATTGTGTCAACTGAAATGTGAGTATTCACTAAAATAACATTTAAAGTTTTAAAATATATATTTTGCATCCTGGATTTGACCATTAAGTGGGGGTATGGGGGACATTTAGGTGATATTTTTATTCACACATAATTGCCATGACTTAAATAACATGATCTAATAGAGAAATGAATAAATTGTCACCAATAACACTGATATTATTTACTGCTGCCTGAAACAGCCTATATATATATATATATATATATATATATATATATATATATATATATATATATATATGTAAACAATAAAAATATAAAAAAATTAAAATCTTCAAAACACACTGGGTTGTATATTAATATTCTTTTCATTTTTATTATTATTTCATTTAGATTCCTTGACTAGTTTTGGCCAACATAGCCATCCTCAGGAGAAAAAAATTTTCTGCTTGCTGGTAGCAGTGAACTACAAAAATGAATGTCGGAGAAAATGAACTTTTGTCTGTAGTTTTCATTTGTTTTTTTTAATTTTTTTTTAACATGAATTTTGGTCAGACTTTGTGTTGGTCAAACAGTCTCTTTTAAGTTGTTATTTAAGATAAGTGCTGGATGCATTCATGCTGCTTGGAATTCCCTTGGTCATTTTGACAGTTTTATTGGTTCCTGGAAAGGGGATGTGTCTCTGTTAAGTGTGAGTGTGTTATTTGGTTCTTAGAGAGTGAGTGAGTGAGTATGATGCGTGTAAGCGTGTATATTACTATGGGTGTGTGTTATCATTTGGCTCATTAGGGAGTGTGGGTGTGTGTATAAATGTCAGACCTCAACACCTCAGTAAGCATGTCTGTCTTGTGTGGGTGAGAAATGTGGGTAGGTCTTGATTTGTGGGGTTATATATTAATACTATCTATATTCTTAAATTTGTGATTAAGCCCATCTGGATAGTGCATTTTTAAAGGTTGTATCCACTTATTTTCATGGAACTCTAATAAAATCTTTCTAATGTTATCAGCTCTAAACTTTTCTATTTTCTCTATTATAGTGAATTTGGCATGTTTTTCTAGGAGGAAATGTTGTTATATATATATATGCTATCCGTAGTTTATTAAATAACACCAGC